GAAAAATGAAGTATAATAGATGGATTTTTTGATTTTTTGTTTACTAATTCCGCAATTACTTAATGTATTTTTTAAATGTCAATAGAGTCTATAATTGATACACATGGTCCCAAAATTCCCGTGCAAATACAGTATCATAAATCATCTATCGACCACTTCATTATTTCGATCAATCACATTTACATAAGGCCTATCAAAGAATAACTTCCTCAGTAACAAAACATACTAATCGATAATTATAAATTATCAAAATATGCAATCTAGTCAAAAAAAAAAATTTTAGATTCTATAAAAATTCATGATTTTTTTTTATAGTAAATTTTTTATCACGTGACTTTATATAATGAAAATCGAATTTTTTTCTTAGGGTATAGTCGCCGCACTTAAAAAATTTTACCCCTAATAGGTAATGATGTTGAGCATTAAATTGAATTCATCCGTATTTTTAAGCTTAAAGAATACATTAGAAATTTGCAAAAGAGGTTTTATAGGTAATTAAAAGATTTGTTTTTAAAAGCAATTGAGTAGTATGAGTTTTTTTTAGTAAAGCATAGCTTATTTATTTATGTAGCTTCACGGACTTTGCAAAATTCTCACGAAATTGAGAAAAAACCAAAGCCTTTAGAAGGAATACGCGTTCTCGAGTTAGGACAGGTATAATTTCATAGTTTGAAGCATATTATTTCAATGATGACAATTTAACGTGTTTCTATAGTTAATAGCAGGCCCATTCTGTGGAACAATTCTTGGGTATGATATAAAAATTTTCTACTTAATTTATATTGATAACTAATTGATTTAATTTTCTTTAAGATATTATGGTGCAGAAGTGGTATGGTTTAATAGTTCTTTATAATAAAATAATGATGATGATATATTTATTTTTAATAAAACAAAACTTCAGATTAAGGTCGAACCACCAAAATGGGGAGATCCGCTAAGGGTATGGAGACATTTAGACACCGATGGAACTAGCCCCTGGTATCGTTCAATGGCAAGAAATAAAAAATCCTGCGAGATTGATTTAAAAACCGTTGAAGGCAGAAAGTATGGACTTCTTTGATATACAATTATTTATCGTTTTTAATATATTAAAATAATTTGGATTCTTTAAAAGACTGGTTAATCAATTGGCTGACAAGTCGGATGTGTTGATAGAAAATTTTCGTCCTGGTACTATGGAAAAATGGGGGCTTGGACCTGGTATCATTAACCTTACGTTGAATTTCTATAGTGATTAAAGCTGGTTCTAATAACGTAAGATTTTGTTAGATGAGCTTTACAAAACAAATCCTTCGTTGGTATATGTACGTATTTCTGGTTATGGACAGACAGGCCCATACGCTAAAAAGCCTGGTTACGCGTCAGTATGTGAGGTAAAAAAAAAAAACACTTCAAACAATGTTAAAATTAGATGAAAATCAACCTTCTTTCTTAATGTTTGTTTTATTGTTATAAGGCTATGGCAGGATTTCGCTATATCAATGGGTTTCCTAACCAGGCACCAGTTCGTCCAAATATTTCATTGGGTGATTCTGTTGCTGGATTAACAGCTGCACTCGGTGCAGTTATGAGTCTTTTAGCTAGGAATAAATTATCGTCAAATGCCAATTTAATTACAGGACAGGTTGTAGATGTAGCTATTTATGAGAGTATGTTCAATATGATGGAAGGAATTTTGCCAGAATATGATCGGTTTGGGGAGGTAAAACTAATTGAATTATAATATAAAAAAATAAATGAATATTTCTTTTTCTTTTAAATTATTAAAATAATTTGCTTTTGTGATTTAGGTAAGGCAACCATCAGGTACAACTGTTACAGGTATTGTACCAACAAATGCATACATATGTTCAGATCAGAAATATGTAATAATTGGAGGTAATGGAGATTCTATATATAAAAGACTTATGCGTACAGCGGGAAGAGAAGATCTTGTAACAAAAGAATATGAAACAAATAAGGATAGAGTGAAGCATCAAAAATTAATTGATAAAGCAATTAGTGACTGGACAATAACTCTTACATCAAAACAAGTGTTGGAAAAATTAGAAAAAGTTAATGTGCCGTGTGGTAGCATTTATAATATTGAAGATATTGTTAACGATGATCATGTTAAAGAACGTAAATTAATTGAAATTACTCGCGTTGGTAAAAATAAAAGTGATGGCGGTTATGATTTAAAGGTATTTAAAAAATTGAAATAATTTTTTTTTATGTTGTATAATGAGAAAAAGTCATTTATTTTATAATATTTTAGATTCCTGCTTTAACACCAAAGCTTGAATCCACACCTGGTGAAACTATGTGGGCTGGATCTGATTTAGGTGAACATAATCATGAAATTTTTATAAACTTTTTAGGATTAAAGGATGATGATGTTAAAAAAATGCAAGATGATGGAATTATAGGAAAAACTATGTAAAATTTCAGGATAATTAATCCCAAGTTCATGTAAAGGAGTAAATTTCTACTTCCATAAATTAAACAAGTTATATACATGATTAATAAAATAACTAATTTATTCTTTAAATTCCTTCCATAATTCTTCAACTTTTTTTCTCTGTTCTTTAGCTTTATCAGCATTTTTCTTTCTTATCTCATTAAACTACAATTAATTAAGGAAAAGAGAATTAGTCATCATATATAATTAACATCTTTTTAAAAAGTGAAATTTGATCACCTCTAATGTTAAGCATTCATTTAATTCTCTTTTAAGTTCATTACAACCTCCAAAATATTTTTTAAAAAATCCCGATTTGTGACATTCATCTAATCGAAGGATTATATCAACGCATTCTAAATTTTATATTTGGTATTATGATTAGAATTTATATTATAAATTTTCTAATAATTCATGATACTTACTTGGATGTTTGTGAAGTGCTAAATTTGGATGCATTGTTGCATTGTTTTAAATAAAAAATTCGAGTAGAGAAATGCATTTAGAGTTTTTCTATGTCACGTGAAAACTTAATCTAGTTTCCTTTTTTATCATGTAATTTATTTTGTGTAACTCCTCCACATTTTTATATTAAAAAAGGATTATTTGTTAAAGCATTAGTTCGGAACAAATTATTAAACATGTTTGATACAGATCAAACAAGTTTACCACAATATCGAAATCCAGCTCCAATTTATAGTCGTTTTTTTAGTCGTAGAAATAACATTATTAGACTAACACTTGCTGGCTTGTTGTTGGGTACGACAGTATGGATTACATTAATAAGGCCTTTAGTTGAATCCGAGTCAAGCATAATTCTTGGTGATTCAGGAAATACTGAGAAAGAAAATTCCGAGCCTACGCAACCAATGTGGCAAACAGATATAAAAGAAACGATTGAAGGGCGCTTTAGCTTATTTAAAAACGAACAATTTACAGAGGCTGCATTAAAAAAAAATGGGATGATCCCAGTGACAGCAGTATTATTAGGTTGGAAAAGAATGGAGAGCCTGCAAACTGTAGTAAATTTTATTTCAAAATATCCATTCATAAAGGAAATCCTTATATGGAATAATAACAATAAAACGAGAATTTATGCCAAGGTAATTTTTTATATTATAAAGCTTTCACTTTAAACCATTCAACATATTCAACATTTTATTTTTTTTTTTCCTAGGATTTTATTCTTAACAATAGTGAAGTTACGTTGAATGTATTTAATTCTGAAAAAAATCTTCATGATCTTTCTAAATATACAACTTGTTCAATGGCCAAATATGATTATTGTTATTTTCAGGATTATAATTGGTTAAATTTATATATGGATAGTTTATATACAAATTTCCTTAATAATCCAAGTTTAATTCATTCAAATACGATGCCAATTAATTATTTAGAACACAGGAGGTGGATGTTTGCAAATTCAGATAAAAATCTTCATACTGGATTTACGCGGCTTGGATGTGGTTCCTTTGCATCACGTGCGAAAGTTCAAAGATTTTTAGGTCAATTAGGTTCGATTTCTCTAATGAAAGATAGATTAAAATTTGCAGATATGTATTTTTCTTTATGGACTAATCAATACCCATATCAGCTATCAAATCCGTTAACAACTTTTGATAAAAAGGATGGTTGGAGAGTTGGTGTGAATCAGTGGAATGTTAATCAATGGAATTTATTCTACAATAATATCGTAAGTTCGCCTGTGTATTGTTCATGAAAAGGAAGAACTTTTTTAAATTTCTCAATAATTATTTAAAATAGCTAGATGCAACTCAAAAGCTATATACAGCATTGGCCGTAAAATCTGGTTCTGAACTTTTCGCTCGTGAAGAAGAGCAACCTTATTATAATGAAAGAGATGCCAGGTTTGTCATGAAAATAAATTTTAAAATGAATCGATCCATTTATTGATTCTGACATTAATTAATTAATTAATTATTATTATTATTTTATCATTAGAGCTCCATGTCTAAACGACAATTGTCTTTTTTTAACAAATAT